TGCATTTTTATTCATAAGTAATACTGACATGTAGTTTTTGTTTTGTTTTTCTCTGGCTTTGGTATTTGGGTAATACTGGCCTCATAGAATAAGTTAAGAAGTATTCCCATGTATTCTATTTTTCAGAAGAATTTGAGAGAGATTTGTGTTAATTCTTCTTTAAATGTTAGGTAGAAGTTATTAGTGAAGCAATCTGGTTCTGGTCTGTTGTTGTTGTTGTTGGAAGTTTTTGATTACTGATTCGATCTCCTGTCAGAGGTCTGCAGACTCTGTTTCTTCTTGAGTCAATTGGGTAGTCTGCATGTTTCTAGGAATCTGGCCATGTCATCATCTAGGTTGTCTAATTTGTTGGTACATAATTGTTCATAGCAGTCTCTCGTAATCCCCTTTTATTTCTATTAAGGCCATTAGTAATATTCCTACTTTCATTTAGCATTTGAGTCTTCTCTTTCTTTTCTTAGTCAATCTAGCTAAAGGTTTATCAATTTTATTGATTTTTTTCAAAGAACAAACTTTTGGTTTCATTGATTTTATTATTTTCCTGTCCTCTGTTTTGTTTATCTCTGCTCTAATTTTTATGATTTTCTTTCTTATGTTGCTTTGGTTTAGTTTGTTCTTCTCTTCCTGGTTCCTTAAGCTATAAAGTTAGGTTACTAATCTGAGATCTTTCTTTTTTTAATGTAGGCATTTATAGCTGTAAATCTCCCCTGAGCACTGCTTTCAGTGCATCTCATGAGTTTTGATATGTTTTGGTTTTGTTTTCATTTGTCTCGAAGGGTTTTCTAATTTTCTTTGTGATTTCTTTTTCCCATTGGCTGTTTAAGAGGAGCCTAGGATACTTTACAATCCAGAAGGTCAAAGATAAGTTTCTTCTTGTCACCCCATGGCTATAGACCCACCAAGCGGAAGCTTAGGAGACCCTCTTCCTTCCCTGTTGTGGGTCCCTTGGCCTGGCTGAAGGGTGGGCTCACTCTAAGTAAGCCATGTGGGCTGCCAAGAGACTGTCTCATCATGAGCCACTCGTGACCACAGGGACGTGCAGTGTTCCCAGAGAGGGCTCTGTACTCCTTAGTGCTTGCTGGGTAAGTGAGCTCATGATCTTTGATGGAAAGAACAGAAACATGAAGAATTTATATATCATTTATATCGTAGATATGATGCACCATTCAAATGCATGGAGTAGAATACATATCCTGTTCTCATTAAGCCTTAGAGTTATTTAATGGCATGCAGGTATTGTCATCATCCCCATTTTCCAGATGAAGAATCTGAGGTACAGAGAGATTAAACAAGTTTTGTAGGATCATATAGCTATTAAGAGGTGGTACTAGGATTTGGGCCCAAGCTATGTGCTCCTGAGTCTGTGCTGTTAACCATAATACTATGCAGTCAAGTTTATTAACATGACTAAGCCTGTCTCCTTATTAACAGTTAATAAGCCCTCCTTATTAACTTCAGGGCTGTCGTGAGGGTTGAGTGTTCAATGAGTGTGAAACAGCCCTGTGAGTGAAGACAACCAGCTTGGAGGGCTATGAACTGGCAGCCCATGGTCGTGTGTACAGTTGACCAGAATTAGGGTGATGGGGCAGTGGTAAGGCCTTGAATTCAAGTCAGGCAATTTGCCTCCAGCAAGCATGAGTCCCCACACACAGCGGCAACAGAAGACTTTCAGGAGACTTACGTGTGCTGATGTTCTCCAGCATAGTCTCTCTACCCAGACAGGCAGAGGTCCTTTTATTTCTAGATAACAAAACTTTGCTGGTGGATATACTGCTAACATACAGGAGATGTGGAATTTGAACCCAGGTCCAAGAGCCGGTGCCGCCTTAGCTACCACGTTCCCTTACTCATTCTTACTGTTGCTCCCACGTCCTGTCCCGCCCACTTCAGAGCTGCACTGGGACAATTCAGTATTCCTGGAACGCTGCTCTTCTCTCCACCACATGTAAACATTCCCTGCCTGACTCATGGACTAGCTCTCATGCTGCCTACACCACGAGCCTTCCTATTCCAAACCTGGAAATGTAATCTCATCGCCCCCTCCTGGGATGGGATCCTCCGCAGCCTTGTATTCCCCACATTGGTATTCAACATCCTAGTATAGTTTTCTCCTTCCCTACACTTGCTAGGGTGGAGGAACCTTAAGGGCTTAGCTATGTAACCCCCACTGCTCCATAAAGCCCTTTCGTAGTGTGTTCCCTGTAGAGTTGGGCACTGTGCAGCTATGTGACAGGGATGGGGTGGGCAGAGGGAGTGCCAGGCAGAGGCAAGAGGCCAGAGCATCACACCAGAGAGCTCTGTAGGACTCTCCATTCTGGTCATTTAGTCATATACGTAGCAGTAACTAAGGAGTGTGTCTATTACAGAATAGTGCACCAGTCAGTTTCAGATCATGGCTTCCACCAGGAGTTCTCATAAGAATCTCTGTGGAAATTCATAGAAATACAGAATGTCAGGCATCCACTGCAGACCTGCTGAGTCTGAGTTAGAATCTCTGGGAGGTAGGACCTGGGCAGTTGTAATTTTTAAGGCTTTACATCGTGACAAACAGTGACATTGGTGACCTACAGGGAGGGAAGGTGAGAGGAGGACTATTCATATTAGTCCTTTTTGAATTTTGAACCAGGTGATGATATTATGTGTTCAAAAAATAAATTATGGGGCCAGGCAAGGTGGCTCACGCCTATAATCCCAACACTTTGGGAGACCAAGGTGGGCAGATCACCTGAAGTCGGTTCAAGACCAGCCTGACCAACATGGAGAAACCTCGTCTGTACTAAAACCACAAAATTAGATGGGTATGGTGGCGCATGCCTGTAATCCCAGCTACTTGGGAGGCTGAGGCAGGAGAATCACTTGAACCCAGGAGGCGGAGGTTGTGGTGAGCCGA